TATAGGCTTATAACTGATATTCATATTATGGGTAAAAAACAGTTTTTTTTTTTTTTTTTTTTTTTTTTTTATATATATATAAATATTTTTACCACAACATTCAGAATCGGCTTTTGTGAGAGAGGGTCTTTGGTTTGTGGTCTTGCTGTTTTGGATGTTCCTTTATCACGTTCCATTGTGCAAGCTATTAAGGAAATGCTGATGTCATGACAAACAACCAGCTGACAGATTTTCCAGCATAACGCTGAAGCTAAACATCTGCTTATCGCTGTGTAAAAGAAGGGAAGGCAAAACTGCTAAACTGTGGCCGTCTGTGGGTTATTCTCTATGGGTTTGCTTCACAGTGATATTAATTATGATGACCTGCTTTTCCCTGTCCTGCTATTTCTTTCACAAGCTCTGAAACACATCAGCCTGGGCCGAAGTTAAAGCATTTCCCAATGAGAATGATTACCTGCACTTAACATTCCCACCTTCTTCTCATAAAGAAGAAAGTCACAGTGCGGCTCAGCGCCGGAGGCTAGTATTCAATATTCAGCCTGCTACCCTTTTCACTATCAGTGTGCACCAAAGCAATAATGTTTTAAACGATAGCATTAAATAATTAAAAATATGTTTAAAATTAGGGAAACTGAGCAAACTGATAAAGCACAGCATTCACCAAATTAACATTTTTTGCAGTTAGTTGATGGTAAACAGAAATGAGCCTGCTGAAAGAAACCAGCCTAAGATGGTTTGCTGGTTTAAGCTTGTTTAGTTGATCAGCTGTCACCATCTCTAAAACCAGCCGGCCACCTTAGGTTTTTTATTATTATTATTATATATATATATATATATATTTTTTTTTTTTCAGAAGCGATTTGCAAAACCGGACCATTTTTCATGTAATAATCTGCAGTTTGCAGAATGAAACATCCGTTTTTGTTGAGCGGGCCATGTCTAACTTGAATAATTTTTGGACAGAGATGAAAAATGAGCTTTTATGATTTTATCAGTTCAGCTGCACTGCTGTGTGCTAGCATGAAGGAGCTTCCTGTCTGGCAGGACATGTTTGAAAAATGACAATGCATAAAAGAATTAAGACAACAACTTCCTGGTATTTTCTGACAAGTGAAAACATTTATTTTGTATTCATGCCATTTGTTTAGAGTCTGGTTTTATCCGTTCTCATTTTTTATTTTTTTTTATCAGTAGTTCCTGTTGTCTTGCTCTAGTTGCAATAATACTGGATTTACTTCCTGGATTATCCTTTCTGGACAATAATTATTTTACTCTAAATGTGTGTCGCATTAAGCTATCAACTTTGTCTCAAATGTTTCTCCTAAAATTTCTTAGGAGAAACAAAAAAGACAAAATAGACAACTGGCACACCAGATAGACCAGAAAACCACCTCAGGCTGGTTTAAGATGACTTTAAGATGTTTCAGTGGACTGTTTCAAATTGACAGGTATCGCATGCATTTCAGTGGAGATTTTGTGCGTAATGAAATGTGCGGCAGATTTGCGCTCCCCACGAGCAAAGATTCACCATGGGCACAGGAAGAGTCTTTTCTATTTGTCTCCTTACATGAGGTAAAACATTTCATTACTCCCTGGTCTGCTTTATTATGCCGTTTGGTTTTGAGTAGGGTATCATTTGCTAATGTGTGCCTGTGAGGGGTGTGGAAACAGCTTCAACCCCTGCGTGTCTTTAATAGCTTCCTCCCTCTAATTCTGTGAGGTGGCGCCTCAGCACAGAGAAAATATTTAAAATGGTATTAGAGGAAATAATATTTGAGATAGAGAGAGTGTCATTTACTTTGGTGTTGAGTTAAGATAAAATAAATCGCTTCTTATTCAAACCAGTTCCATTAAACGACTAAAATACTGGAATCAAATAATTTTGGTTCTGTTAATGATTGTTGAAAGTTTGCATTTTCAGTGCATATCGAACAGCGTCTTGAAATACTTCAACTAAGTTTTTTCTCTTCACTATTTAGCGGTGGGGTTGCTACTGAACCTATAGAGCCGCTGCAAGACGATGCAAGGGTTTTAAATGAGTTGTGAGCCTGCAGCCTTAAAGGTGCAGCAAGCGTTTTCTGAGAAATGCTGTTGAGAGTAGATCGGACTGAGCACCAAACACAATGCATAAAAGAATTAAGACAACAACTTCCTGGTATTTTCTGACAAGTGAAAACATTTATTTTGTATTCATGCCATTTGTTTAGAGTCTGGTTTTATCCGTTCTCATTTTTTATTTTTTTTTATCAGTAGTTCCTGTTGTCTTGCTCTAGTTGCAATAATACTGGATTTACTTCCTGGATTATCCTTTCTGGACAATAATTATTTTACTCTAAATGTGTGTCGCATTAAGCTATCAACTTTGTCTCAAATGTTTCTCCTAAAATTTCTTAGGAGAAACAAAAAAGACAAAATAGACAACTGGCACACCAGATAGACCAGAAAACCACCTCAGGCTGGTTTAAGATGACTTTAAGATGTTTCAGTGGACTGTTTCAAATTGACAGGTATCGCATGCATTTCAGTGGAGATTTTGTGCGTAATGAAATGTGCGGCAGATTTGCGCTCCCCACGAGCAAAGATTCACCATGGGCACAGGAAGAGTCTTTTCTATTTGTCTCCTTACATGAGGTAAAACATTTCATTACTCCCTGGTCTGCTTTATTATGCCGTTTGGTTTTGAGTAGGGTATCATTTGCTAATGTGTGCCTGTGAGGGGTGTGGAAACAGCTTCAACCCCTGCGTGTCTTTAATAGCTTCCTCCCTCTAATTCTGTGAGGTGGCGCCTCAGCACAGAGAAAATATTTAAAATGGTATTAGAGGAAATAATATTTGAGATAGAGAGAGTGTCATTTACTTTGGTGTTGAGTTAAGATAAAATAAATCGCTTCTTATTCAAACCAGTTCCATTAAACGACTAAAATACTGGAATCAAATAATTTTGGTTCTGTTAATGATTGTTGAAAGTTTGCATTTTCAGTGCATATCGAACAGCGTCTTGAAATACTTCAACTAAGTTTTTTCTCTTCACTATTTAGCGGTGGGGTTGCTACTGAACCTATAGAGCCGCTGCAAGACGATGCAAGGGTTTTAAATGAGTTGTGAGCCTGCAGCCTTAAAGGTGCAGCAAGCGTTTTCTGAGAAATGCTGTTGAGAGTAGATCGGACTGAGCACCAAACACACTTCTAGCCAATCACCAGTAAGGGGCGTGTCCACTCATGATGGGGTAGTTGCCTGTGTTGCATAGCTATCAAGAAAAGGGTGTAATCCTTTTGGGTAGGGGCGTGTTTGTTTTGGTGATTTTAAATTGGCGTTTCTCAGAAATCACTTATACTCCACCTTTAACTGAACATAATGAGAAAGAAAAACTGAACTCCACAAAAAAATATAATAAAATAAAAATAAATAAATCTTTGCATTGCCTTGTCTTCGTGTTTGCAAGCAACAACAAAAGTGCAAGCAGTGTAGTCCAATTCGTGAACACATACACTGAAGAAGAAGTGTAGAAACTATTTTCACTCAGAAATTGATAGTTAATTCACAATTAAATATAAACAAGTTACACACTGAATTAAACTTGAAATTTTGAAGTAGAAAGAGAAACAGTATTTTCTTGTAAAATGTACTCCAATAATGTTATGCAACTTGAAAACTACATAATCTATTTGCATCTTTAAAAAATATCTAAAATCTAATTCATACCATTTTAAAATGGTAAAAAATGCATCCTGAGTAACTGATAAAATATTTGTCATGGAACACATTTGTTGGATTATTACAGTTTTAACTTTTATGTTTCCTTTAATTTATTTTCAAGACCTGAGGTGAATTATCCATTAATATTCATTATTATTCCAATCACGCAAAATGATATTCAAACTCACATTAGACCCTTTCAACATTAAATAAAGCCCATAAGTACCTGAGTTCATCATTGTCATGGATTTTATGTTATTGTTACAGACGCATTGTCGCAGAAATAGAAACCGTTTCTAAAATAGAATCTGCTTGTCGCATGTCACGTATCTCCTTCTCAGCTGGTTAGGACAAAAACTCTGATTAACGTGGAAAAGATACCTTTTCTCACGTCATGGCACAGCATCGCGTCTGGTTAGCACATGGTGCAACGATTCACTCACTCACTGATTCGGTCAAAGCGGTACTTCATGTATTTCTTCATGCCCAACACAAAATGGTCTGAGGTGTTACTATATTATATATTGACATCAGGACTGTTTGAAATTAGCAAATTTTGCACAGAACTCATAACCGGCAGGTTTCAATTTGGTTAAAAATGCTGTGGGACATGACGTAAGGCAGCTGTAATATTCCGAGTCCAGACATCTGCTTTTGCTGGAGTAGACTGCTGGTCAACTGTCTACGAGAAGTGGGTCTTGCCCAGTTTGACTACTCTTTTCTGTCTCCTCCCCTGACAGTAACTGCCTACTCTCATCTACATTCGAAGCAAAGTCACTGGCAACTCAAACAAGCCTATTAATTTTTTTTTTTGGTGATCTCCTTGTGTTACTCTGAAGCTGTATGCCAGCTATGGTGCATGAATGAAACACTGCATTGAGACAAGCAATAAAGAAGAACAACATATAGAGGGCGGGACATCTGGCCAAACAGAGATGAGATGAACCCCAGAGATGCCCCACTGTGCATTTGCTACGATAGAGACAGTCTTCTGTCGACTTTCATCCCAACCTCAAACTCACAATTGTGAAGGTCTCTGATGGCAGCTGAGTATCAGGAAACAAACGCTGCTGTTATCCCTCTAACCTGACAGTGTGTATGACAGATGTTTGACACCCCTCATCTTCGCCTCACTGACAAGCAAGATGACTACTTCCTCCTCCTGTCAGAAAAGTCTGAACTCAACATGGTTTTGACAGGTAAAGGGTGGAAGACAGTCATAACGCGCTGTTGTCAGTTTCTTTGGCTTGTTTGCCGTCTTTGGAAAGCGCGTTGAGTTTGCAGTAGAAGCACTGTACCTTGCTGCATGAGGGAGCCCACGCCAAACCAGAAGCTGTTGAGGAGGGTGAAGTTGTTTTCTACCACATCGGAGCCTGGGTTACACGGATGGGCATCATACCACTCGTACGGGCTGAACCTGTAGCAAAAAATAAGAGAGAGTTCTCAAACTCGACCTCTACATTTAAAGATGAAGTGTTTTGCACTACCAACGACACCAAACAGAACTGCAAAAATAATGGTTTTACAAATGTGGAAAGTTCCACATCTAGGGACCATAATATCATAGAGGGCTCTTCTGACTCATACTAGAACTACTCAGAACATCCAAAAAGATCACTGAGCGGCACCCTAGTAACTGCACAGCACTGTGCTAATAGTAGCTCAGAACACTTTAGCAACCATACACATCAACCAAACATTGTGCAAAAACCATTTACTGGTACATTTTCTGAAAATGTAGAAATATTCCCCTGTGAAGAAGAGTACATATTACAGAAAAAAAAAAAAGTTTGTTGTTTTCGGCACTTAAGTGCATGCTATTTACAATTAAATGAAAATGTATTATACACTCTAAAAAATGCTGGGTTGTTTTGTAAGGTCAACACACATGGCCCAAGGAAGGTATCCAGTGGTGGATGAAGGTCACTTGCGTGTTCGGTCTTTTCAGCGCGCAGAGTTATTCAATTTAGGTTTAACTGAAATCTGACTCCATTTTATTATCTCATCTGACTCCTTTTTAGTATTACCTTGAATTTTGGTTGAAAAGCAAATTGGTTGCTTGTAAAGTTGGGTTGAAACAACCCAGCATTTTTTAGAGTGTAGTTTAATTTTTTTTTTTTTTTTTGAGTAGGACTTAAGTACATATTTCTATGTGCTATCATAATCTCTTCTATTATCTTTGAAATATGGTTGAAGTGATAAACTAAAATATACTTAATAGTAAAATGTACTTAATAATGCAGTTTTTATTGAAGCTTGCGTGCCATTTATTTAAATATATTTGTAATTAAACATTTGTAATGAGTTGCAATTTAGTACAATTAAAATATAAATAACACACTACAGTTAAAATTATAATCAAGTACTTCACATGTGCTTTAGTCGGTTAGTCAAAGTAAATGTACTTCATTACAGCTTGACAAAAGATTATTAAAACATGATTTAAAACTTAAGGAATATCTTTTAATTTGATATTGCAAAGTGCACTTTTTAAAAGTATGTAAATAAACAATCATGAAAGTGTACTTTCTTTAAGTACATAAAGTGTTTTATTTAGGTAAGTACATTTCTTTTTTTTTTCTTTTTTTAAATAAACTTCTTAGATTTGAAGTACACTATAAGGTATACAATTAAGCGCACTGCTTTTTCACAATGGTAGTCATTAATGCATGTTATAAAAGTTTCATATTGTGAGATTTGCTAATACACACTCTTATGTAACAAGCACAACGTGACTTCTTATTTCTAATCATGAACTCTCCGTATTAGAAAAGCACTTTACTTTAGACTAGACTTTACAATCGTGCCAAATGAGTTTATAACCCTGGGGAAATGGATCACAGATTGGCCACTTCAGGGTATTTTGCTGAAATCAAGGCAAGTAACTGTGACGAGAGTGCACATCTTGGCTCTTTTCAACAGCTTGTTAAACTATAACGTAATTAACTCTGGACACTCCCAGCAACTGCAGATGCCTGTAATGTCCCTTATAACACCTGTCCTTTAATATCTACAGTACAAGGAACGTCTCAAAGCAGCTGCTTCAAAAGATGAGAGACACAGGTATTGCCAAGGGACTTGTTAACAGAGCACAAACACCGTAGCCGGAAACTCGCAGAAGACACATTGTAGGATTACATTTGTCGATGTGCATGTTTTTACTCACTGCCTGGTTAAAAATAAATACATTAATAAATATGTCTTTATGTAAAAGGTGACATGCATATATATTTTTTATTTTTTTATTTTCGAAGTTAAATAATATCTCATATTCTTATTGTACAGAGACATCAATAAATGTACCGTTTTTGTCAGGCTGATTTCCCTGAAGAGTGCATTTTTGAAAACATCGCTCTGTTTGTTAAAACAGCCCAACCAGATCTCTATAGCAACACTGACTCAACCAATGGCGTGACCGATGAGGCAGGGCCATCTGTTTATTCAACCAATGGCACACATGAAACTGTTTGACATGATTTGTGTCGTTTAGTTGGGTTAAGTAATTAATTACTAGCCAGAAATTACATCTTCAACAGTGCAATTAGAATACTGTACTAATTACTCTCTCTAAAACGTATTGCATTGCTTATTACTAATTACTTTCTAAATATCAAATCAACCTCGACCAGTTGAACAACAGAAGGATAGACATGAAACTGTTCTTTTAATTATTTCAAATAAATAATATAAAATTGCACAAATTATTATTGAACTGACTAAGATATTTAAAGGTGCTGTATGTAAGTTTTTGACTCTACTAAAGCATAAAAATACGATAATATGTTTGCAGATATTTAAGAAACATGCTAAGTTAACATAATGGTTTATCTGAAAAACAATGCTACAGTCAGTTATTCTCTTTTGAAAATGTGCGTTCCGGGCCGATATGTCGGTCTCTGTTTTGGTTTGTGAAACCCGCCCACTGCCAGTTTACCCAATTGTATTTCGGCACCCCGGGTTGCCAGTTGGCGGGAAACACAGCGTATTTTATTTCATTCATCGTCAAGTGCGCTCGTTCTTGTTGGTGTCGTCAATCTGGCAACCTGCTACCCTCTCCAATATTTAGAATTTGGACTGCAATACCTAGTTCAACCACTCGGTGTCAATCCTACATGCAGCACCTTTAAAGGCAGGGTATGTGATTTTTCAAAAACACTTTAGAAAACTGATTCGGGTCGAATAGCAAAACAAACTTGTAGCCAATCAGCAATAAGGGGCGTGTCTACTCGTGATGTGGAGGAGAGAGCTTTCAGTGCATGGGACGGACATTAGCCGAGCCGAGCGACAGAAAGATAGAGATGGGTAGACACGGTGTAACATTGGTTTTGCTTTGTTTCACAGAACTAAACGTTGCCTGGGTTGTGTACGTATGAGTGGGGCAGAGCTATCAAAATAGGGGCAATACCCTTTTGGGGTAGGGGCGTGTTTGTTTTGGTGATTTCAAATATCAACATTGGCTACCAGAAATCACTTACTCTGCCTTTAAAGGGAGAAGGTTAAGCTAAAAACATTCATTTTAACATTGTTAAATTTTGATGTTAAATCCACTATTGTTTTATATAGAATTGTTCTATACAATATTAAATGCAATTACTTCAGAAGCATCTGTAATTAAATTACAGAAAAAAATAAGTGTAATCCCTTACTTTACTTTTTAAGCGAATAGTAATTAAATTATAGTAATTACTTACTTACTAAAGCATTACACCCAACACTGTTTATAAAAAAAAATAAAAAATACTAATAAATATTAAAAAAAAATGCCAAAATGCCTATTCTGTTCCCCAGTTTCATGTAACCTGTTTTTTTTATTCTCTCCGATTCAAGTACACACCGACATATAGTTTGTGATTGATATTAAAAAATAAGCCTATGCATCTTCTTTTTTGCACTCCAAGCATTGAAAACCATGAAGCCCTAACTCCTGGAAAATTGAAAGCTGGATATGTTCTGGTCTTTGAAAAGATAAGACCAGTAAGATGGTGGAAAGGACATCTGTTATTACACACTTACTGGTGCATGAGAGCTGAAGTCTCCGTTTGTACTTCCTGCCCATTCTTTTGAAACTTTAAAAATATATTTCCAGGTCAAGAGTAGTACTGTGATGAGCGATTCCTCATTCAACTGATTCTCAATTTCTCCCTTAAATTATGTAATTTAAGTAACCATTTTAAAGAAAAATGGTGTATGTATGGTGTACATTTTGGACATTCTCAGAACTCAGTTATTTGATGAAATGGCATCGCACCTCAGTCTAAAAGGCTTCAGGTCTCAGAAAAAATAATGGACAAAATGGCCTCTCTCAAAAAGCAATCTTCCAACTCTAAAGTCCACTTATCCCTCGGTTTAAAAAAATAAAATAAAAAGTTTAATGTGCTACCTGTGCCACTTCAAAACAGTTTAAATGAATGCAATAATATAACGGAAAATAAAAACTTGTTTTGAAAGCAGTCTTTATATGACTGAATGGATTACAAATTGTGTGATATTTTAATGTCAGTTTGATCAGTGGCAACCTGTTTTCACTCCCACAACGTCCAGTACTGCAGCTTGTATGCATGCAACTATACACGCATCCAATCTTACCAATGCGAACAGTAAGCCAACTGCGTTCAATGAGTAAATGTTAAGGGCATGGGACTTTCACTACAATGAAATTATATGTTATAATTTTGGGTAGCCCTTATGATATGTTGGGGTTTGATTTTCAGTTTGAATGTATTTTAACATAATATGATGTAACAGGCACAAGAAGAGTAGAGTCACAATAATTCATTCAAAATAATAATAATGATTAAAAAACGTAGAATTATAGAAGTATATTCAAACAACATTCTACAGCTACATTCCAAGTCTTCAAAGGCGAGAGATTTATTTGTGGCGGACCTAAAATTTGATCACAGTCACCGTCTGCCACAACACTCAAATACTTCAATAGTGCTTTTTTTGTCATTTTGTAGAATAAATTATTGTGACGCTTATGCTTTTATCTGTCTGTTACATGTTTAATGTTGTTAAGACGTAGTTAAGGGTAGGGTTGAGCTTAGCTGCTTAAAATATATATATATATATATATATATATATATATATATATACACATATATGTAAATAGTCAATATTTTAATATACTGTATAGTGAAAACATTTCTACGAGCTACATACAGATGTATGAATCTCAATAATAAAATAGTAAACCAAGAGCCATCTGCAAACAATTGATGCTACAGCTTTTCTCATGTTCAAATTATTATTATTTTTTTTTTTTTCTGAGCCATTTTTGGCAATGACTTTTAAAGGTATGAAAATGACCACTTGGACATCAGATCATTTGAAAATGGACTTAGATTTTTACATTTTCTGATAAAATTGTGAGTGATGCTTACCTGTGTAAAATTTGCTGTCATTATGTAAGGATGCGGTTTTTGGTTGTTATGATGATGCTATGCCGTTTTTAAGATGTTCTGAATATTGTTTTCATGTGTATTGTGCACCTAAAGTGTATGTGTGGTATTCAGTTGCTACATCTTTCTGGGTGGTTGTTAAGAGTTTTTTTCTTCCTTCTTTTTTTTTGTAATGGCCACAACAATTCTACCAGCAAGTCTCTTAGATATTCTAGTCCCTAGGTATGGTTTGGTCTCTTAGCCTTAGCAAACACTACTAATAACACATTACTGTTTGCCCTTTGATGCTTTACTGAGTGAATTCAAGGCAAATATCGGAAGGTACCATGAAGGTTAATAGTCCCAGGAGCAAAAGCCACAGGAACAATTGGTTGTTGCTCACCTAGCGATGACGAAGAGTACACAGCTGACTCCCAGGTAGGCCAACAGGATGTAGACCCAGATATCAGGGGTCATGGGGTTCAGGAAGGAGAAGAAACCAGAGTTGGTGCTGTTCGGTCTACGGTACAGGATGCTGATGCCAGTGTTCAAGAAAGGTTTGGAAAAGTCAATCGCTTTCTCCCGCATAAAGGTGATTGTGAGAGGAGCCACAGCAAGGTCAGCCCTCTAGAGGACAGGAAACCAAAATTAGGATCGAAGAAGTGTTCAGAAACATTGAACAAAGACAGTCTAGTCCATAATATTCAACAAAAAAATCAACATGAAACCACACTGGCAAACCATTTTACTTCCCTAATGCAACACATTTTTTAATTAAACAAGATATTTAACAATAAAGATATGTTAGGTAGAACCTGGCTATTCATCAGAAATGAAATCGTCAACCCATGTATTAAAAATGTGCCTGTGGTGAGATTTCACCACAGGCTTTGCTCCCTGCATGTTTCATGACACCTTCAAAGTGAAAGTCAGTCCCGCTAAAAGTAAGTTCAGTTTTATCAAAAACACATTAACATGAATATTGGCAATGTTGTATTATTTTGGTTGTTTTACATATCACGTCAGTTTGGAAATAACATGATCAGTGAGTCGCCACAATGGAGATTAATGCTCTATCACATTTGAAAATAACATACCATCAGTGCTATGTAGATTATAAACTGTAGTACATTACTTATTACAAATTGCATGACAATAACATAGCATAAATTAGTTACATAATCTGGATTACACATTTTAGGTAATGAAGTCTGACTACTTTTTGATTACTTTTTGATTACTCTCACAAAGACTTCAATGGGATTATTGTGTACCAAAAAAAAAGAAAGCGAGAGAAAGAAAATACTATATATTCCACTTGTATATTCCATTCTTTGTTATAAACATCACGAAATGCATTAATAGCACTTAAATTACTGTATGAATAATTTGCTGCCATTGTGTGAATAATAAGTAATCATGGAATCCATAAAAAGTAACTAATCGGATTATGAGGATTTTAAAATGTAATGCAATCGAATTACAAGTACTTAATTTGTGGGATCTGATTACGCAATCCAGATTACATGTAATCAGTTACTACCCAACACTGCGTACCATCTACACTAAACCCTATCCTAAACCAAATCGATAGTGTTAACAAAAGCAAACCTGACAAAAAAAAAAAAGAATAATTTGCCAAAGCAACCATGACATTTAAGCTTTCTTCTACAAGTCTTTGAGCTGTTTTATCATGTCTTGTGTACAATGCAGTACCAGGTGGGCTACCGAGCAAGTTTTCTATGTCAGAAAAGCCTTACATTTGGAGCTGGTTACGTAATGCAGACATGCAAATGTATTCGTTTTCTAATCATGCACAATGGGAAAAGTGTTTTGAGGTCATAATATAGTGTTGTGCAAGGAACTTTGCAAAAAGCATTTATTAATTTATAATCTACGAATGTAACCATAATTTATTTGAAAATAAATAAAATATGTTGTTTTGTTGACTCTAGTGTTTATTTTTTACTGGAAACTTCAGTGAATTGTATTTTTGGAGTTTTGCCAAATAATAATAATATACAAGCACACATACAAGTTTGTAGTCAGTTTGTGGAAGACTACTTTTGTTCTGAAACGCAACAAATACAACTTTTTGTCCCCAATAATTTGAATTTCCAATAACATATGAAACAAAATCAGACTCAGAATGTGTATTAAGAAAGTAAATAGAGACCATTTCAGTTTCAGGTTGGCACAGTTGGCGTGCTTCAAAAAAAAAAAATAGTTTGAAAATCCATTGTTTGTTTTTTAAAGGAGGTATCTAGGTTCTGTACTGATGTTGGAGCAATCACAGGCTGAATAACTATATGACGAAACAGAGCAATTGTTACACATACATCATTATAATATAATTGTTACCTGAAATAATATAAAAAGGTCTCTCTTGAGAGAAGTATAGATATGGCAGCATACGAACCATCCTATCACACTCCATAACATGGGCAAATTCACACCCCAGAGGCTCAAAGTCAGTACTGCCAAGGTGACTCAACTGTTGAAACAAGTGGCCTAGTTTCCTCGCTGTCTGCTATTACATTCCCTCCCTCTCTTTGAATCGCAAGAGCAGGGAGGCGTTCACTTGCTGATATCTGGCTGCATATTTAGAAGGTCACCATTTACATCGCCTTACCCTGCTTCCTTCTCTCCAGGGTTTGACAGGAGGTTAATGAAACCAGCTGCTTGGTGCACGCTTCACTGCATCCTTCCCCCTAACATGATGAAACTTGCGAAGGGGTTCAGACTATGGTCTTACAAAATACTGCAAGCCAACCATCATGGACTGAAGCATTTTCACGTGATGTCCTTTCTTCCTCTCACAAGAAGACTGCTGTTACATTTTCTTGGCTTTCTGTGACATTTCATTGCTGTGACATGTCCTGGTGGTTGGACGGTGAACTGTATTGCCTTTCTTTGTATTGTTCTGTCTTTCCTGCAGCCTGGGCTTTGGCCTCTTTCTTTTGGACAGTGGTTATGAAAAGAGCCACAGTTCTGATTGACAGACCTGAGTGCCTGTATAGTACAGCATGTGGCTAACCAGGGGAAAAGAGGACAAACCAAGAGAAAGAAAACTCCAGTGTGTCTACAGGTTGGGTACCTCTCATTAAATATTTAGATTAACAACACACCGTTTTTTCTTTTGTTTTCTCGGACATCCACAGTAACCATTCAAGACTATGGATCTGGCCTGCAGGGCAAGGAAATCCCTGCTGAAAACACTAGCATACTGGTCACCATGATGTGTTTTAGATGATGGCTCTTCAGCCAAGCTTCTTAACTGGATTAACCAGCAAGACTTTCTTGGTTGCCAACTTCGCCAGCTAATTTAGTGGTTAAAAAAGTTTGCATATGTCTTTTGTTGAGTATCATATTTGATTCATCAGGTAGTATGATATAGGAAAATATGGAGTAAAAAAAAATAAAAAAAATTTTTATTCAGAAATCCAAACTGAGCAAAAATACACAATTTGGTGCTGCTGTTGAAATTTATATATCCAAAAGAAAAAGAAAATAACAACAATAATAGTATTATTATTATTATTAGTAGTAGTAGTAGTAGTAGTATTGTTGTTGTTGTTATTATTATATACAAATAAATAAATAAATAACTTTTTTGTCCTGAAAATGTTTATTCTCTAATGATTAAATTGACGCACAAGGGCTAAATAAAATGCACATACATATCTTCCATATCTTAGTAACATGATATTTAAATGCTTAGTTTTATGATTAAAACTGTAGTTTTTTTATTGTGGTGGCAAAACATATAATGCGATGCAGTATAATGATGATTGAGAACATATACTAGCTGTTTTACAAAAGTTTAGAACATGGCCCATCCGATCAGTTTTTTTGAGCCGGTACTACGATTTTATAAAAACAAATCAATTTGCATTAGTGAAAGGTAATTACACCAAAGCCAGAGCCAGATTTGAGATACAATGTAAATTTTCGCTCATGGACAATGGACATGTCAATATCATCTGTGATAATCCTTTAAGGACTTTGCCTTTGCTTGTCAGGTCGTAATGAGAATGATTAAGCTCGGCAAAGTGCTCAGGACTGTGAAATGTATTAAAAGGCCCTACATAGTCCAAGTCAAAGTTAGTACAGTGAGACAATGAGCCAGTGCTGGTACATAACCTTCCGGCTTATCCACCGGAGCAAAGATTAATTACTATAACAGGAAGAAATGACGTGCTAAGGCAGCCATTAACACTGGCATGGCTGGATGATTAATGAGATCATCAATTATAGCTAAATCAAGTATAATAAGCCTGTTGCATCATTTAACGCCTTTACCACCGTGACCTTTAGCTTTGGAGTGGGATTTGTGGCCACTTATGGAAAAGAGGTGAAAAATAAACTGTCCTACTTGACACAACAGTCCTTATGACTTTAATTAATATCCAGTTGAGTATTTAAGAAGCACTTTTTTTTACTTTAGCATTGCAGCTTCTCTCCATAGAAAAAAAAAAAAAACAAATAAATAAATAAATAAATAAAAACTATTTGCTCTTGTCTTTACTTTGACATCATATATTCCATGAGTCTCCTGGAAAGCAGTTCCTATCTAACTCCCATGAGTGATCCATAATCTCCCAGAAATCTGTCACTGTCATTGCAGCACTCATAACACTTTTTCAATTTTCGTGCAACACAGAAAGGTCGAAAAGAAAACATATATTTAATATATCTTATATTATTTATCAGCAACTTATTGTTGATAAATGTTTTGCTGATTACTATATAGCAATGCATGTTTGCATTGTGAAAAATATTTGCTGTAATCAGTAATACAGTAAATATAAACAATATCTTAACGTCTTTAAAACAACATGATACATTTATTTAATTGTCTTGTACAATGTTGCTTATAGAACATTTATTTAATGAAAGGTTACAAAGGAAATGTCCTTGTATGAAAATGCAAATGACTAACCTTGGAAACATGGTCACTTATTTAGAATTAGGGTTATTATTGTTAACTAAAACTAAAACCAAAAGCTTTTTTTTTTTGTTATTTGAAATTAACAACCCAGGCTCATTGGAAATACGTGCTTGTGGCGATGTTTCTGCAACACTGTTTTTACGTACCTTAATGCATGTTTTGCTGTAGTTTCAAAGAGAAATGTCCAGTGAGTAGCGCTAAAACACACGTTCAATATGTGACTGTGACCACGTTTTTATTAGATTGGTACAGGCACGTATTACGGCGGTTCAGAATTCAAGTGTCCGGGGAGAGTCAATGAAAGGTTTATGTTCTATCGTGTTGGAAAATAACATACCCCCTACACCAAACCCGACCCTAAACCCACCTGATAATGTTAACAAATGCAAAAGTGATATAAAAACACATTTGCTGATGTGCTATTTTAACATCCTTATATGCGGGATTGAGCTGCTTTGTCGAACCGTAGTTCCCCTTCTAGGGAACTTGCGCTGCGTCCTCTAGCGGACACTTGGGGGACTGTCGCCAGCAGGACCGATGTCTGAAGCATGTGTGAAACAACTCCAATCCTATTGGCCCACATAGCCTATGACGTCACAGGCGGGCGCTCGGTAGTATAAGAAGGTAACTGTAGAACACGTCACCAACTTTTGTTGTCTTCAGGAGCCGACTGTTT